AGCCAGCTCTGAGAGTCACAGAGGAAAAGCAGATGACCTTGGACAACAGCCAACGCCATGCACTTACTGTAGAGGTCAGTTTCGTCCAGGATCTCTGACTTGATGATCTCCTCTATGATGTCTTCCAGTGTGACAATGCCCATCACCTCATAGAAGGGGTCCCCTTCTCCCTCATTATTCACCCGCTGGACAATGGCCAGGTGAGATTTTCCTAGAGAACAAATGAAATCAAGTTAAGCATCTGGGATGTTTTCTGAGACCCTTCCTTAGGGAGAAAATTATACAACGCTGCTTTCTGACTGACCTCAGGACTGACCCACCCCAGGACCTCCTTAAAATATGAAGTTTATATACAAGCCTATATAAATGGAAACTATACTTTCACATCTGTTTCTTTTTAGGAAAGTTACCTAATATAAGGGGTTGGCAAAAGTAGGTTTACAGTTTCTCATATGCAGGGTATGATGATTACAATAGCTTTATTAACTCAGTGTTTTGCGCACTCACAAGTATAAACCTACTTTTGTCCACCCTGTACACAAAGTCAGTTAAATTTTTCTCCTTTTAACTTTCACATATTAGCAAGCAGCACAGTTGACCTTTGGACAATTTGGGGGTTAGGGGCACTGATGCCTGCACGGTTGAAAATCCACGAGTAACTTTTGACTCTACAGTCAGCCCTTTGCACTGTGGATTCAACCAACTGCTGATTGAAACAGGATTGGGAATGGGAAAATACTGTTTTTAAGCTGTAGTGGGTTGAATCTGCAGATGCAAAAACTATGGCTATGAAGGGCCAAATATATTTACTGAAAAACATCTGCATGTAAGTGGACCCACGAAGTTCAAACCAATGTTACTCAGGGGTTAATTGTACTAGTATATCTAAGCTAAAGAAGGATGAATAGAGCTATTGAAAGACCAAGAACTTGGAGTCAAAGAATTAGGTTAGAAGCCTTTTCCTCTTCCAACTTACCCCATCCCATACCCCTTAACTATGCCAGTTATCATTTGTGCAACTGATCCTCATCTAATTATTTGACCTCTCTGAGTCTTGATCTTCTCATCTAGAATCAGGGGGAAATACCAGTATGGGGACTTTAAAACATGCCTCCAAATTCTTTGATAGGTTTCCCATCAAGAAGTGTGGTCTCTATCCCCTTCCCTTGAGTCTGAGCAGGTTGTGACTGCTTTAACCAGTAGAGAACAGGGAAGTGTTGGCTATGAGACTGCTGAGGCTAAGTCACAAAGGTCATGCTGTTTCTGCTGCAGAAACACTCTAAGTGAGAAGTGTGATGACTACCCTGGTGTAGAAACCACATGTTCCAGCTGAGCCTGGCCTTCCAGCCATCCCATCAAGGTGCCAGCCAGATTTCAGCAAAGAAGCCACCATGGCAGGGGATCTGTAATCTTAGTTGATTCAGCTCTGCTTTCAAGTCATCTCCAGCTGCTGGCTTAGACATTGCAAAGCTGAAGTAAGCAATTCCCACTGTACCTTGTCCAAATTCCTGATTCACAGAATAAAATGTACCCATAAGGCATTTTGAAGCTCAAATGACCTAGTGGGTATGTGAAAGCACTTTGTAAATTGTAATGTGTCACAGGCAGTTCATTTTTATTGTCCAACAACTGAATAATAATAGTTAACATTTATTGAGCTCTAACTACATACCAGGCATTGTTCAGAGATCTTTCTATATATTGATTCATTTGATCCTCATAACAACCCTTAAGATGAATACTATTATTATCCCCATTTTACAGAGGAAAGAACTGAGGCACAGAATGGTTACGTAAGATGCCTAACATCACACAGTCACTCATACATGGCAGAGCTGGATTGCAAATCCAGGTAACTGGGTTCAATCCTAACCTAGGGAATGAGTCTTACCGACAGTCTTCCTTCACCTTGGTTTGTTTTCATCTGCTGATAAACACATTTCCTTGTCCTGTTTCTAAAATGAAAATCTGGGTGGCTCTTTTCCTTGTCTAAGAGACATTTCAGGCAAAAATCTAGGGTACTGACTAGGATGTTATTCTTGCAAAAAAAAAAAAAAGGAAGTTCATGCTTTATCAGTGTTACTTTTTATAAGCTTATGCTTGGTCACTGCTATCAGATAAGAGGAGTAGTCAGGTTGCTGGACGTATAATTAACCACTACAATTTAAATACATGAACTTGTGTGTCAAATACTTCTAATCACAAGAACGCTACCTATTGGAATTTTTAATGGAAAAGATGGCATTTCTTTCAATAATGGTTTATAATTTCTTCTCCACCTTTAACCCATCCTTTGACTTACTCCCAAACTGATCTGATCATGCCCCTGCCCTGCTCAAAACCCCCCATGGCTCCCTAGTTGGGAGCATCAAAGCTAGACTCATGAGTTGGGTATTATGAAGAGTGTAAAATGCGGCTCTTCCCTATCTTCCTATATCTCCTACTCATTCTATATTCCAGGTTACCTCTACTTCCTCAACGTCTTCCAGCTCCACTTTCGAAGTCTTCACTCACAGTTTCCTTCTCCCATTCCAGTTCCACTGGTCCTTCAAGTTTCAGCTCACATGCCAGCTCCTCAAGAAAGCTCTCCCAGATCTTCCCCATTCCAAATCTGAACCAACCTCTCCCTGCCCGTGTTTCTAAGCCCCTGATAACTCTGTTAGAACATTTGTCACACAAGTTGCTGCTTCTTATTACTAGCAATGTGTGTGTCCTCTACTGGACTATTTATCTTCCTCAGATCATCAGCTCCTTCAGGACATTAGACTTAGACAGGTTACCTCCCATATAACAGGCAGCCACCAATTTCTGATGACCTGAGCTAAGATGGAATAAAAATCCATAGTGGATATAATATATGATGTTAAGACCAGACACTAAAACTTTTACTTTTTGATAAAATATAAGGTGTTTAAATTAAAATTTAAACTCTGACTCAGTGGTTCTAAAATGATCCTTCTTTGAAACAACTATCCTATCCAACTGGACTGAAGGCTTTTGTAGTTTAACTTAGGGTATACTGATGATTAGAATGTGCTTAATTTAAAGTTTTTTCACCCCAACACAGTGTTCTTACACGTATGGCACCTGTTCACACTTTTCTGCTAACATGTACTAGCAGATGACAAAAACAACAACAACAAACTACTATAATGGAAAGACTTGAAAAAGTGATTTCATAAGATTACTTTCTAGAATTGGATAACTTTTTATTGTGGAGCCCAAAACATACATAACACAGCCATACTTCCTGCCACTAAACGATCAATTCATATGATGGGATACAATAAAATAACATTTTATGATGTTTTGCACAAAATACCATATCCTCCATGTGAAAAACCTCCCATTGGTCTACACTTTAGAAGGTAAATTTGAGGATACACTATATGATTACCAGGAAATAGAGAGTTTAAATCCTAATTATGTAATATCAAGACAACGTACTTCTATAATCTAGTTAGAAACATTTCATAATCCATAATCAGCCTTCGTGATTCACTCAAGGGCCTGTAGAGATCTACAAACACACGAAGAAGTCATTCTTTCTTGGGTATAGACTGGAACAGGAATCAGCAATCACATACCCCTGTTCTGAGCTGACATTCACAGGGACAAGGAAACCAGATGTTCCCATGACACCTGCTCCTGAGGCCCTTCCTTTCTCACAAAGACTGGCCTTTGAGAGGCTTGTCTTCCTGTCGCCCTCCTCTTCCTGGGCCCCAGAAGTGATGGGGATGGTCCAAAGTGAAGCCAGTCTTGAGACATGGATAAGTTAGTCACTCCCTCCTGCCACAGCACTTTGAACATACCTCTTTAACTGGAATTTATAAGTACATTAATAGATATTATGATTATAGTAGCAGCTACTATTTGCTACACACACTTTAGGGGCCAGGCACAGTACTAAGCATCATACACACATTATTTCACCATGTTGCTGTTCTCTACTTATGCATGATCTCCCCCACTATGAGGCAACAGCTATGTTCTACTTATCTCTGTTTTCCCAGAATCTAGAATAGCACCTGGCATAGAGAGAGAACTCCATAAATAATGGATGATAACTGGATATCTACATGCAAAAGAATAAAGTTGGATGCCTATGCCCCACTACAGACAAACATTAATTTGAAATGGACCAAATGCCTAAATGTAAGAGTGAAAACTATAAAACTCTTAGAGAAAAACATAAGAGTCGATCTTTGTTGACCTTGGAGTAGGAAATGGTTTTTTAGATAAGACACCAAAAATGTAAGTAACCAAAGGAAAAATATGTACAAACAGGACTTCATCAAAATTAAAAAGGGGCACCATCAAAAGAAAGTGAAAGACAACTTACAGAATGGGAGAAAATATTTGCAAATCATATATCTGATAGGGAGCTTGTATCCAGAATATACTAAAGAAAATTTACAACTAATAAAAATACAACTCAATAAAAAAGTGAGTAAAGGATGCAAATAAAGAAGAAGATATACAACTGGCCAATAAGCAATAAATATTGATGAGGATGGGGCTTAAATTTTGACTATTCCCCTCCTCTGCACTTCTATGGGAACCATGCTCTTTCTGGTTGAGCTGTCCCTGTGTAAACTAGCAGAATTTTTCAAGTGCCGTCTCACAACTATTAGTTCATTAACTTCAGTTTCCTTCCAACTTATGAGAAAAGCAGGATGCCTGGTAATTAATTTAGGCTAATAATGATGAAATCATTAATATTTATAGAGAACTTCACAATTTATCAAGCATCTCTTGAGAACTTAGTTAGAAATGCAAATTCTCAGGCCCCACCCCAGATCTAGTAAATCAGAATCTCTGAGGGTTCCGTCCATTAACAAGCTTTACAGCTGGTTCTGATGCCGGCTAAAGTTTGAAAACCACTGGTTTATGGGTAGGTTCTGTGGTACTCTGGTTAGGTGTCAGATGACCTATTAATGAGGAAGAGAAACAAGCACTGAGCTGTCTAGTTAAATCCTGGTCCTTTTGGTAACCTTGGTGTAAGTCACAAGATGCTAAGTGCTCCTGAAAAGACAGAAAAGAACCTCCTCAAAGAGTAGCTGCAGGGCAAGCTAATGAATGCTCTCTCATACGATGTGGTGGTTAAGGTATTTTGTTGACATGGGAAAGAGAATGGTGGTTGACTGTTTAATACTGAGCTTGGAGAGGGGTTTTTTGTAGTTTTTGTATCAATCTCCTCTAAGACAAGCT